AACAAAAAAATTAAATGGTTTAGCACTTCCGTTAATTGCTGTTCAACGGATTATTGTCTTTTATATGTTAAATATCTCGAGAGATATCCGTTAATGTAAGAACTTTGAGCCTTCAAATCAATGTGTGTCCAGAATTATCTGCGTTTGAAAGTTGAAATGACGACTCGTCGTTTCTTGAGACTCTGCCATATATATATAGAAATAGAAAGTGAAATTCCAGTTTAGGGTATTTTTGAAGGAATTATGCGAGTTTTCATACATTTTTAGTACTTCTGAAGATTATTTACATATATTCAAGACCCAAACTAACCCACGAAAATGGCGATCCTTTGCCTTTAAGTTTTCTCTTTCATCCATTCAAAATCCTCCATCTATTTATGTCTAGGAAACAAAACAAACCATTTAGTCACAACCGGAATTTTCGGTGAATAAGTAATATTGTTGTTAGAGTTATAAAGATAATATTTTGACTAAAATCACAATATTTATATAATCAAGGTCACTAAATAGTCATCATTTTATTCTCATGCTAGTGAAATTTAAAATATTGTAGTAAACATGGTCAGTAGTATCTTTTTGGCCGATATTTCGTTTTAAAGGGGCATGGCGCTATTTTTGGACCAATCATACCTTAGTCTCAGAAACGGGAATTTTTCAGCTAAGCCATTCAGCTTTCAATTTTCAATTTCATATACTGAAAGAATTGTCTATGAACCGCCCCCTCCCCCTCCGGAACATTGTGTTGCCCCTGCTCGCCCCCCTCACCTTATGTTTCCTAGAAACGCCATTGATTCTTAATCGCAACCATACCAACTGGTTACCACTGGGGACCTCTTTCAGAACTAGAAAATGTGCTAAAAATTTGATGTGCTCGATGAAAAAAAGAGCCCCTTTTTGTGAAATATTGCCCTAAGGGTCGTGTCACAGAACACTAAGCCTTGTTCACACGATGAAAAGATAAAATGGAGTCGAGCCCCTAAATCAATCCAGGCTTGATAAGTAATGGGTTATGTTGCAGTTTTTCTTTAATGTGTTTTAATAAATGTGTTCTAGAGATTTCAATGACAAATTCAGATTGATTTATACAAGGAGAGGTTTTTGAAATAGATGCATTTTATTAAGATAAAGGCTTGATTAATGACCTTATGTCCCTTTTAAAAAAAAAATAATTGTAAGATAGCCTGAGTATCTTGGTTA